GCTGGGGCTTTATTGGGAGCAGGCAATGCAGGAGACACATGGCCCCACAAGCACTGTGCCCACCCTGGTCCCCCAGCTCTGCCCGAGGCAGGCAGCATGCCAGGGCTGCTGCTGACACCATCGCTGTCCCCGTGGGTGCCCAAAACCACACCCTGGGCTGTGCCCATGCTCCCATCACGCCAAGGAGGTGGCAATCCCGCTGGGTGCAGCCTGTTTGTCACCACTGTGACAGTCTCACCACCTCAGAGATGGCCGCGCTGGCTCGCAGCGTCTTGGTGACGGGGTCCAACCGGGGCATCAGGCTGGAGCTGGTGAGGCAGCTCGCCGCCAGCCCCCAGCCCCCCCAGCACATCTTCGCCACCTGCCGGGACCCCGATGGTCCAAGAGGGAAGGTCAGTGCTCAGGGATGTCCCCAGGTCGGGCCCTTCACCTGATAACTCCCCCAGCAAAAGCAAAGCCACCACGGTCTGCTCCAGCTGGGGTGACCCGTGGACGAGGATGGGATGGGTGGGAACCTGTGGCTGGGACCACAGCGGTGCCACCGGTGACTTCTAACCCCCTGCTCCATCCCTTTGTCTCCAGGCCCTGCGAGAATTATCCGCCCAGCACCCCAGCATCAGACTGGTCCAGCTAGGTACGGTGCAACCTCCCTGCCCGCGCTGGGCATGCTCCTGGCCCTCTGCTCGCCGTGGGGATGGGAACGGGGACAGCTTTGCCGGACCTTGGTGGTGGTGGCAGCTTGGGAATGCCTGGGAATGTCTGGCAGAGCTCCCCACACGCTGAGCTGTCCTCTGGCTGGGTGCCATCGAACTGGCTTCAGAGGGAGGCAGAGGTGGGTCCAGACCAAGTTTCAAGGGAAAGGCACGAGATCTGTTCTCCAAGGTGCCCCAGTTTGCCTAGCAGTTTGGGTTGGGACACACAGGTTCATGAACCAAACAGTTCCTGAGTAGCGGGGTTGGGTTGGTGTCTTTTTGGAAGTGGCCACGGTCACATTTCCTTTGGTATTGATAAAAGGAGAAAAAAGAAACAGGCTAAAAGGACACGTGGGAAATGTGGCCATGCGCTGGTGTTAGCATCCCAGGTTGCTGCTCAGGCTCAGAGGCATGCTCCTTTTTGGGATGTCTGCCTGGTTCAGTGACAAACAGACCTGGAGAGGACAAAGACAAAGTGAATTTTTAGCATTTCTTAACAAAGAAGGCACCCCTGAAGTCAGTCTATACTAAAAATACCTGCAACTCTCTCTCTTATAATTGAATAGATTAATGAAGTAGAAAATCTTCTTTGTAATAAAAAATTAGCATCTCCAAAAATACCTGTGAGCCCCAACTGGCATTATGTGATAGGAAAAGCAAACTTACTTTGCTCACCGAAGCATAAAGGGGACATCTCAAGGGATTGTCCATGGAATGAAAAACCTTTCCAAAAACACATGCACTCCAAAAGGCAGGCTATAAAGTCCCAAAATAAGCTAAACAAACCAACCAACCAAACCAAACTCCGTCTTAAGGAATGGTTAACTTCAAACTGATAATAGTAATGATCTTTACAGAAAGGAAGGAAATTAACTCTAAAATGAGCAAGTCCTGTCACATTCTTTCATTCTCAATTTCTTTCTTTCCCTTTCTAATCCCTTCATTTGTTTCAGCTGAAAGCTGAGGCTTCTGGGTATGCACATGGCTTGTAGGCACGTTTCAGCTGTTGTGGAGAGGAGTTAAGAGGTTGCCTGAGGGTAATTTGGCTGGTCTAGCAATAGGAACGTGATTGTCCCACACACCTGGCCCCCTTCTCCCTTGGAGCAATGACTTGGCCAGTCCAAACACAGAAATTAATCATTCACCCCAGGCAGTGGGCAATCCCTTGCATGTGGTGCAGTGACAGAGTCCAGAGCTCCGCTTGTTCATTGCCCAAAAGGAAATCACCAGAAAGTGTGCTGTGAAGTGTCATGAAGCTGATCATACGTGAAATGTTCGTGCTGAAATGTCCACGTCAAAATGTCCGGGCTGTTGTCAGTGAATCCCACGGCTGCTTCCCCAGCAACCCGGCAATGTATTGGCTGGGGGAAGGCTTTTGGTGCCAGCAGCACCAGCCCCTGAGCTGACAGGCACCTGAACACATTTTGGCTCTTGCTCTGCATCCTCAGCCCAAAAGTCAAAGTCCAAAATCACAAACAGCTCCGAATTCAAGCCAGGTGTTGAGAAAAAGATGCTGGTTTCATAAGGGAATGCTAATCTTCCAAAAATCTATGCTGCCCTGTGGATAATTAACTCCCACACTGCAGCATTTCTCATCAAATCCCACAGACAATTTTCTCATCAAATTCCCCCCACAATGTTCTCATAGCACCTCCTGAAAGGCCTGTGCTGCTGGAGTAAGTCCCAGTCACTCAAATGCTTTAAAAGAAGACTCGAGGTCTTCAACCACCACCATAAATCCACCAAACTGGTTAAAAATGCCAAAAAAAGGTGCCTAAGGTGCCCATGCACATGAATATTCATGGAGCTTACAGTCCTGGTGGTGCACTTGTGATATAAAAAAGCAATACAGATGTTAAATGTTGGTCTAACCAGCACATTTCAGACGTGTAATGTGTTCATGTGACCCCTCTTAAATGACAATGGGTGTTTCTTTGGAGAAAGTACTCATCAAGTGATGCAGATCCTGACAAGCAAATCCACAAACTCAAGCAACTTAACTTAAAAAACACCACCCCTACTGGTTTCATGAAAAAAGGGCCAATTAAATCTTAGCAGGTTTTCAAAGAGATCCAAACAGGTGCTTATCCCTGTTAGAAACATTTCAGGAAAATTTCAGTAGTTCTGGTTGCTGGAGAGGGCTTGAACCCACAGCCTGGGCTGGAGCATCTGTAGAAGAGGGGAGGCTGAGAATCTGCGAGCAAATGCTGCAAGTCCTAGGAAGTGGTGGTGTGGAAGATCAATTTTAGCACAAATTGTTAAAAAAATAGATAAGATCACTCTAAATGATCTGAGTGGATATCAACCAGGAAAGATCTTTGTGTAATTCAGTAATAAAATGAATCTGTCCCCAGTACATTAGCAGCCCAAATAGCCACTGTGCAAATACAGAAGGACACCAAGAGCATCCTTTATTATTTCTCCAAAAATGCTGTCCATCATTTAAAAAACCTGTACACCCAGCTGTGGTTGGCTCCTAGCAGAAACAACACATGAACTACATCTGGGAGCCTCAGTGTGCAAGGACCAAGCACCTCTTATAAAATAACCCTTTGGTTATTTTACCAGGTATAGTTCTGTCCTTCTTTTTGCCCCAGCAGACACAGTGGACCTGCCCAGCATCCGCAGGGCTGTGCAGGTGGTGGAGTCTTGTCTGGAGGGCCAGGGCTTGAACCTGCTCATCAACAACGCTGGCATCGGCTCGCACGCCACGCTGCAGTCCGTGGACTCGCAGGAGATGCTCGCCGCATTTGCCACCAACGTGGTCGGGCCCCTCCAGGTCGCCAAGGTATGCGAGGGCTTTTGGGGGTCCTCCTGCACTGGGAGATGCTCTCCTGGGTGGAATGAGCCACACTGGTGGGAACAGGGCCGTGGCTGGGGGAGCAGGGAGGCTTGAGGAGCAGCATCTCCCATGCTTTGCTCCTCCGGATGGCTCTGGCCTGGCCCATCCTTGGGGCATTTTCCAGCTGCTCCTCCATGGTCTGCAGCCACGGTGTGAGGACTTTCAGGGCAGGCCTGAAACCCTCAAAAGGGTCTGTATTAACAGAGCGTGGGTGTCCTTGTGTCAGGAATTCCTGCCGCTGTTGGAGAAGGCGGCAAAAGGTGCGCAGAAGACAGGGCTGAGCTGCAGCAGGGCCGCGATCGTCAACGTGTCCTCCAAAGTGGGCTCCATCGGGCTGTGCCTCGGGGTGCTGGAGGCCCCCATGTACCCGTACCGTGCCAGCAAGGTGAGGGGCTGGGGGAGGCACTGGGGACCATGGAGGGGAGCTCATGGGTCCCTTCAACCTGCCCCAGGCCATCCATCCCCAGCTTGGTCCTCCAAGGGTGAGCCCAGGCTGTGCCCATGCTCCACAGCAGGGCAAAGCCCATTTCCCACCTCCACAGCCCTTCAGCTGCAAAATGTCCCCCTCCCACCCATGTGTACCCAGCTCCCTGAGCCCAATGTGGTGCTGGCATGGCCGTGCCTCTTCCAGGCTGCCCAGAACATGGTGACCAGGTGCCTGGCTGCAGAGCTCAGGGACAAGGGGATCTTGTGCACGGCGATCCATCCCGGCTGGGTGAAGACGGACATGGGGACAGAGCAGGTATTGTGCTGTGCAGGGGAGGGACAGTGGTGGTGTGTCCTCTGCTGCTCGGGGGAGCTGAAGGCCTGGGGGCAGCTCCGAGGTCTGCCTCCACAAGCACCCTGCCCTGCTCCAGCTGGGAGGAAAGGGCACAGCAGCACCTGTGCACGCTTCAGCCTGGTCAGACCCTGCTGCTCACCATGGGCCATGGCAGTGACACCGATCCTTGTCCTCTTCTGCAGGCACCCATGACGGTGGAGCGCAGCGTGCAGGGCATCCTGGCGGTGCTGGGCAGCCTCTCGCAGGAGACCTCCGGCGCCTTCCTCGACTGGGAAGGGAACAGCCTGCCCTGGTGACAGCCAGCTCAGCATCCCACATCTCTCCTGCCCAACCATGGACACAGGAAGCAGCTTCTCCCCCTTCCACACTGCACGTGTGGCTGTGCAGCGCCCTGTAACCCTGCTCTGCCCACACTGACTGCCCCTCGCTCCATGCCCTTGGACACCTCAGCCCCTGTGGGGACCCCTTGCTGGCTGGATCCTGTGCCCCTGCCTTGCTTGTGCTGCCTCCAGAGGGTCATTTCCAGCAGGACACATGTGGGTATCCCCAGTATGGGCAGGGGACAGGAGCAGTGGGCACTGACACGCACACAGGTGAGTGGGACCACCCGGGAAGAAGCTGCCCTCTCCAGGCTCAGAGTGTGGCAGAGCCTGTTGAGTGCACAGACAGACACGGATGGCAGCACTGCTGCTTTCAGACAAAGGTTTATTGAGGATGTTGTGAAGGTCGGGCAGCAGCAGAGGGGCTGCTGCCAGGATCCGGGCATGAGGCTGGGCCAGCATCTCACCAGGGCAGAACTTTCCCTTCCCAGTCCAGGAAGGTCCCGGTGTCCTTCTCAGAGAGGGAGGACATCACCTTCAGCATCCCTCCTACGCTCTCATCTACTGTCACGGGGGGCTGCAGGGGCAGAGAAAAACATGTAGCTCGGGGTGACAACAGCCTCCCATGGAAAACCAGCACAGGGGCTCGGATGGACCCGCTGTGGTAAAGCTCCTACCTTCATTTCAGCTGAGCTCCCCATGTCCGTCTGTACCCAGCCAGGATGGAAAGCAGCACAGAGGATGCCGTGTTCCCGGTAGCTCAAGGACTGGCACTTGGTGAGCATGTTCAGAGCAGCCTGCAAGGAGACACCGCAGGGATCAGGGTGGGGAGGGGACGCATGCAGACTCCACAGCCGGGGCAGGCAGGGCGAGTTCCCTGCAGCAGCTCTGTCCTATGAAAATCCTCTGCGATTAGGTCTGGGACCAGGCACAGGGATGTGCCTTGAGAGGGAGCCAACGACTGACTGGAGCTCAGCCACAGCGGTGAGAGTTGCAGGGACTGAGGGGAAGGCTGGGAGGTGTGCAAGATCCTTCAGAAGGGAAAATGTCCCGGTTCATGCCCAGCACTGCACATACCTTGCTGCAGCGATATGAAATAGCTTGTCCGTACTCCCACAAATAGACGTCCTGAATGGAGCCAGCATAGCTGGACATGTTGATGATGGCTGCCTTGCTGCAGCTCAGCCCTGAGCCCGGGCTCCCCTGGGCAGCCTTCTTCAGCAGGGGCAGGAACGCCTGTGAGGAGAGGAGAAGCGGGGGGTCCACACAGAGGCGGTGCAGGGGAGAGGACCGGCTCCTTCTGCAGCGGGCAGCACCGCCACCAGCACCGCCAGCAGCCGCCTTCCTCTTCCCCCTGCCCCTCAGCACCAGCCCCAGTCGGTTCCACCAGCTTCTTGTGGCAGCTCGGGAGTGCCGGGCCCGTCACCAGCACAAGAGCGGAGCTGGGCCCTGTCCCACCGGCCCTGTCCGTCCCCCTGGGAGATCCAAGGGGCAGGGATGTTCCTGGAGCTGTGGTGGGGGCCTCACCTGGCTCAGCAGCAGGGGCCCAATGGTGTTGGTGGCGTACACCTGGGCCATGTCCTCCTGTGTGTTACTGTCAAATGATTTATAGTGTGAAATTCCGGCATTGTTGATGAGGAGGTTGAGACCTGAGTTCTTGAGGCGCTCCCCGACACTGGCTGCAGCCGCCTTGATGCTGGCGGGCTCGGTGACTTCTGCGGGGCCAAGGTGAGGAGGTGAGCAGGGAGCCCAGGCAAGGGACCCTCAGCCTCGGGGCACAGCCTGGGCACCTACCGAGTGGGACGATGACCAGGTTGGGGTGCTTGGAAGCCAAGTTCTGCAGCTCCTGCAAGAGACGGGACAATGTGGGCACAAAGAGGCAGGGCTGGCTGCACAGAGGCTTGGCTTTGATCCAGCACCGCCTCACACCCAGCACCCTGCTCTGCCAACCCGCTCCCTGTGGACAGGTCTCTGTGCATCCCACACACCCCACAAGCCTCGTGTCTCGCCCTGCCCACCATGGCCATCACCTGCCCCAGCAGCAGAAGCTCCCTGCCCAGCTCCAAGGAGCCCTGGGCACCCCAGGCACAGCTCATCCCATGGCCGTCCTACCCCAGCTTTCTGTGCCCCTGGACTGGGCTCAGGGCTGCAGCCCCATGACGGAGACCCTCACACAATCCTGCCTTGCACCGGGCACTGCCCTGCCCTGCTGTCCCCCACTGCCACCAGCCTCACCTGTGCTCGCTGTCCCTTGGGGTCCCGGCAGGCTGCAAAGACCCACTCGGGTGGGTTTGGCAGCCCCAGCAGGTGCTGGACTAACCCCAGGCCGATTCCTCGGTTGGCTCCAGTCACCAGAACGGAGCGGACACGAAGCCCTCCCATGCTGCTCTTTCTGCCTCTGCACGGACTCTGAAGGTGCCTTTCAATCCTCAGTTATCTCGTATTTTCCCACGATGGCTTGTATCTCCTCTTTGCTCTAAGGCAGTATTTGCAGTTCCCCAGCCTCTTGGCTTTTTTCCACAGCCTGGATCCACCTTTTCTGGTGCTGAGTGACAGAAGTGGTGCCCAGCGTCCTGTCCAGGCAGGGAATGCCCTGGGCTGTGGGTCTGGATAGCCGCTGCTCACTACCAAGCCCTCTGACGCACTCTCTCCTCTGCCCCACTGCCAGCAAGAAAGCTGCCTCTGCTCCCAAGGCCACGGCAGCACAAGCATTCGCTCCAAGTCACAGGCACTGGGCTGGAGTCACGTTGCTGCTCTTTGTACCTTCCTCTTCTTGGCTCCACCAGAACGTGAGCTGTTTGTTTTTAGGGCCAGAACTACCGCTGTTCCCGTATGGAGGTGCCTCCTCCCTCTTGGGCCACCAGCTTCTGTTCCTCATGGTCAGACAGGCAAGTACGGATGTGTGGACCATGCGCAGCACGAGTTATTGACCTTAATTTGTGCAACACCAAAGCCATGGGCGGAGACAGAGCAGCAAGGAGAGGTGAGTGCCCCTTATCTACTGTAACAGGCTGGAAAACCCAGGAACCCTTCCAGCTCTGACTGGAAACCTTCCCGATCTGCCCAGAAGAGGCCCTTTCCTAAGAGTCTGCTATACCAACCAGTCTGATATAGTTTAAGCTGGAAGCGTGAAAAAACAAAATTCACACCCAGCACACAGCAGACACCCAATCCCAGGGTGGTCCCAGTGCTCCTTGGCTCATGTCTGTGCTGGTGAGGCTGACCTGATCGGAGATGATGGATCAAAGTTCTGTCTTCCAAAGACAACATTTGACTGGTCATCACAGGAGCTTTGGGGCCATCCAGAAGGTCCCCCAGCACCTCAAGCTGTGCCTAAATTAGTAGATGAGCATCACCAGTGTGTCCACACAGGCTGCTTAACAGCTTGCAGGTGAGAATCTGAATGTAGCACAAGCTCCCCAGGTGTTTTCTGTTGCAGCACTGACCACACCATGCACAGACAGTTTGTGACAGCAGGAGGTGTTCCTGGAGATGCAGAAATGGTCATGTAGGACAGTCTTCTGCACCTATCTAAGATAGTTAGGAGGAATCTTGTGGATAGTTTAAGGAGATGAAGAACGGCAGATCATGTGTGTGCCACAGCAATCAGGCAAGACTGGCTGGGTGCAAGCTGGGGGAATCTCCCCTGCCCCAACTGGAGATGATGCTGCATAAGAGACTCCTGTCATCATCTGCACAGTGACCAACCATCCCATTAAGAGATTTGCTTCTGCGTTAACTTCTGTGGAGATCCCAATAAACTAGGCTGCTTGTGTTCTGCAGCCAAACACTTGCTGTCTGCTCCTCTGTGTGGCAGGAATTTGTCATGGCATTTCAGGGACAGATGGTGTACGCTGTACCCAGCTGGGTCCTCACCCCAGCCTCCAGACTGAGAGTCAAAGGAGGCTGACAGGGGGCAAGCCTATGACCCTCACGGCCCCTAGCAAGGAGGGATTTCAGCCTGGCGAGAGCCCTTCTGTGCCACCAGGCATCTTCCTGCGACACTTTGGCTGCAAATGAAAAGCCAAGTGCCTGTGCTCGGCCAGCAAAGGAACCCGCCGTACTCTGCTGTGTCAGTGAGGTTCGCAAAGCTCTGCCTGGAGGAGGCGTTTGCTGTCCCCTTGGCTTCTTCCCAGGTGGGACTTTGCTGTGTGACTGCAAGATTTGGGCACCTATATGGTATTAACATAAGAGGAGACTGGCAATAAGAGGAGATGGCAAGCGGGGAGGACTCTCCAGCTGAGCATTATTGCACACTGCAACAGGCGAATTAGTCACTCCACCAAGCCTGTTGGAGTTTAAGAAGCATTTGGACTGTGCACTTAGTCACATGGTCCGAATTTTTGGGTAGAACTGTGTGGTGCTGGGAGTTGGACTCAACCCTTATGGGTCCCTTCCAGCTCAGGATTACTCTACTCTACTCTACTCTACTCTACTCTACTCTACTCTACTCTACTCTACTCTACTCTACTCTACTCTACTCTACTCTACTCTACTCTACTCTACTCTACTCTACTCTACTCTACTCTACTCTACTCTACTCTACTCTACTCTACCCTACCCTACTCTACTCTACTCTACTCTACCCTACTCTACCCTACTCTGACACTCCTTCCAGCAGGCAAATGCCCGTGGAGGACTGGCACTAGGGCAGCCAAGGAACCCCTGGAAGCACAGGAAAACATGCAAAAATGCAGCATTTTAGCCATTTCAGGCTGGGTATCAGGAAGAGGTTCTTCACCACAAGGCCATTTGTGCACTGGAACAGGCTCCCCAGGGATGCAGTCACAGCACTGAGCCTGTTGGAGTTTTAAGAAGTGTTTGGACTGTGCTTTATTAACTTTTGGGTAGACCTGTAGGCCAGGAGCTGGGTAGACCTGTAGGCCAGGAGTCGGGTAGACCTGTAGGACAGAAGCTGGACTCCATGATCTTTACGGTTCTTTTCCAACTCGTGAGATTCTAAGAATCAACGAATTCACTGAAGAACGACTAAACGGCAACCAGCAACGGCCCAACACCAGGAAAACACCCGGTACCGGGCCGGTACTGGGACATGGGACCGGCTCCGGGACTCGACTCCGGGGCGCGGCTCGGCCCCCCTCAGCCCCGGAGCCTTCTCCCCGCCCGCCCCGAGCCGCTCCGCCCCGGATACTGCGGGGCCCGGCTCCGTTTCTCTTCCTGGGCCGCGGCGGTGTGGGGCGGGCCATGGCGGCGGCTGCTTGCCCTGAGGCGCCGCTGGGGGCCAGGTGAGGCGAGGCGGGGAACCGGGGCTGGGGGCTCGGGGCCCGGGCCCGGCGGCTCCGTGAGGAGCGGAGCTCGGCTCCTTCCCCGCCCACCCGCCTCGTGTCGTCCCCTCGCAGGTTCGTGTACGAGAGCAAGAACCTGTCCGGCCCCAAGGTGTACGTCCTGCAGCCCTGGATCGCCAGCCTGCTGCTCAACTACGAGAAGAGGGACGCCGGCGGGGACCTGCTGGCCGGGCAGGTGCTGCGGGTATGTGCTGAGGGGAAAGCAGCGAGCCCTGGGGGGCTGGATTGGAGCTAGAGGAGCTCCTCTGCCCCTCGGTGCTGTCTGGGTTGGGTTCTGTCCCCCTGCATGTGCTCGCTCACAGAGGCCGCAGCCTCCCCTTCTCCATCCCTCCTCCTGCTCTGCTTTGCTGGGGGAGCGCGGGCAGCGGGTCTGGAGCCTCCCACCCTACCTGGTGTGAGGAAATCGCAATTTTCTTCAGACAGGATCTTCTTATTTATCCATGATTGCAAGGGCGGGTGTCCTGACAATTGGGAGCGCATTATAGCAAACAGATCATAACTTTCTATTCACAAGCTACCCGATGCTCCCCTATACCCTGTATGTACAATTTTTCTTTTTTTCAACCCTTTAATTTCCCCCTTTTTCCTTTTTTTCCCCCCTTTCTTATGTTTTGATAACCTCTGATCTTTGTTTTACTGTTCTCACACTGCTCATCCTGTTTTTCCCAAGCTTCCACCCTATTTTGGCACAGCGAGGCCTTCTACTGCCCACTTACCTACTTAGCATCTCCCCTTATTATGACTACACAACTACCTTGGAATACAGAAAATCAGTTTTCTGCTGCAAAAACACAGCTTAGTTTCTCACACTGGGGCCTGGAGGGACCCCGAGCCGTTCCTCACCTCCACCCTCAGGTCCTCCTGCCCCGTGATTCAGGCTGTGGGGCTCCCGGTGGCCAGACCTGCTCCTGCTGCAGCCCCTGGAGAGTTTTTGTGCTGAGGCTTGATGGCTCATCTACCTGCTAGGTGACATAAATGAAGAAGGAGGGAAACAACCGAGCTGAGTCGGTGCTGCTGACTCCTTTCAGACCTTGGAGGTGTGATGCCCAGGGAGGAAGGGTGAGAGCTGCGTATGGCTGTTTGCTCTCGCTCCTCCACCTCACAGTGAGCACTGTGGAGAAAGGCGGGCTGAATTATCATCAGCTATGGACTTACTAACGTAGTCACATAACTAGGAGTTGTGTGAGTAATTTGGTTATGTTAATATATAGATAGCTGAGTTGCTAACTGGTATCCTCTGATGCTTCACAGTCCCCTCTGTGATGTGGCCAGTGGGCTGTGTTTTGGAGGGGCTGGATGAAAATGCTGTGAGACACCCAGCCACACAACTGGACATGAGCTTGGCAAGGGCAGGACATGCAATTTATTTCTTGTGCTTGGTTGTGATTATGGTCTGGCTGCTGGAGAGTTGTATCCTCACAGGAGAAGGACAACAAAAGATGGATATTGTCTTTTTTTTTTTTTTTAATGGAGGAAGAGATGAGATGGGAGAAAAAAAATGACAGCTAGAAGGAAGACCCTGTGTTCCTGTTCCTGACCCTATCTGAAGATGGGGAGGTGGTGAAATTGCTGCAGTTATGCCTAACTTCTTCCTTACCTGTTTTGGACTTGTAGTTTCCAAACCTACCCTCCTTATTTTTGTATTTTTTTTAAATTTATTTTTATTTATTTATTTTTTTCTAACCAGTCCCATGAGCAGCCCTGTCTCTTGCTGGTGCCAGGGACTGTCAGACTCTTATTGCCAGCACAAGGTCCCAGCTGGCCACAACTGATCTTTTGAGCATGGTGTGCGACACTGCGCTCTGTGCTGGTATTCGGAGTTGCTTCCCTTTGTCTCTTGGCTGGGGGATGATGGGGACAAGAGCATCTTGTGTGCACATCTTTTGTCAGATGCCAGTGGCATTTGTGCACAGGCGTGACGTGTGATTTCACGTCCCCTCTGTGAGTGAAGAACATGAACCAAGCTGTAGGTGTGTGACAGGGACTGCAGCGCTTAGGGCAGGCCAGGACTGACCCACAGCTCCCAGCCTGCTTGTCAGGCATGTGTGGGACGTGGAGAAGCTTCTTGCATCCATCAGGGGCTGTGCTGATCGAGTGGGTACATGGCTTAGTATCAGCTCAGGGTTGATACACCAGGACCTTTGTAATTCTGCTCGATCCTGCTGCTCTCTCTCTCCCTTTGCTTTGCTAGAGTGCATGTTGCAAGCCTGCCCAGCCCCTTTTGCTTGAATTCCTGCTGCTGGGTTGGGCAAAAAATGCTTGGCTGTGCCTTCTCTTCCCCCTTACTGTTGACCACTGTCTCACACAACACAGCATGTCCCTTATCATGTCTTGGTGCTGAGCCTGCCTGGTCCCACCAGGAGGCATGGGCGCATACAGCACCCCTTGGCCCTGGGGCAGTCTTTATCATCTGGCTTCACAGGGAATGGTGAACTTCTCTTCTAAAAGTCCATGCTCTCATCCAGGCGCTCCTTGTTCACTGGAAAGTCAATGGGTGACGCTTTTTTCCCCCCCTCCCCAATGTTTTTGATAGGTTTTGAATGACTCAAGTGCTCCAGACCAAGCTGGAGCACTCCAAGATGCTGAACTACAAGTCTCAGATGGGTCCTACTACATCCGAGTGGTCATTACAGCTGAAGCTCTGCGGGCGGAAGAAAAGTGGGTTCTGTCGTGACTCGGCTGTGGCTGGGACAGCAGCTCTCCCCAGCTGCTAGTGGGGCTCCTGCCTGGTCTTTTTTCAGGTTTTGTTAAGCCTAATCAATAATGGGGTGGGAAATCAGTGTGAAAGAGGCAGCTGCTGCTAGGTGGGGCCAGCGGGAATTCTGGCACTTGGTGCTGCAGTTATGGCTGGCTAGGAAGTGCAGGGATCGATGGCAGAAACGGTGATGCCATATTAACGTGATCAGAAATGACTAAAAAG